TGTATATATATTCAGACTTTTTGTATATATATTCAGACTTTCTGTATATATATTCAGACTCTCTGTGCCAGATGAGGGGCAGGTACCCTCGTTGTCTGATATGTTCTGTGAGATACTGCAAGAGAGTGCCTTAAAGAATAATAACAGGTAGGCTATTCCGTTCTGACTTACTGTTACTATCGGTTGATTTTTTTTTCTCTGCTAGACATTTGACAATTTATTATTTGGACTTTGAATTATGAATTAATTATTTTATTTATTAATCATTTACGCAATCGCTTGATTTTACGCTTACTGAGGGTTAGTACGCAGTCATGGCCATAAGTGCAATGGTACTAATAATTGGCATAACAATTTCTTTAGGTGTTTCGGTTTTCGGCCCTGGTTTCCTCATTTTCGGTTTCAGACAAGAATTTTCATTTTGGTGCAACACTACCAGAAACCAGTCTAGGGTGTACTGCATCTATACCTATACCTAGATATATACCTATATCTCTTTACCACAGTTTACAGGTAGAAGAAAAAGCTGCTCCATTAACTTACCCTGCCACTTTCTACGATGTCCCTCTGCAAGTCTTTGGAAGACAAAATGAGCTCCTTGATCGCCTGCATCAGTTCTGTGCACGAGGCCAAGATCCTGCAGAGGGCGACAGAGTATAGGATACATAAGGGCCCCATCTGCCTGAGTAAGGATCTCTTATTTGATTAAACATAAAACATGACCAGGTCGGAGGTGTAGCCTGAAAAAAACTTGTTCGCAAACCAACTGTTGAGGTTTTTTACCACAAACAATATCATCAACACAAATCTACAAAAGTAAAACAAATGTCACTCGTTTGCCACTATATTCAAATTGTTGTTATTTTAATTTTTTAATAAACGAAACACTGCGTCAATGGGCTCAGGTAGGCTACTTGGACTTACCGTAATTTCCGGATATAATTTTTACAGGCTAACAAAGTTCATACCGCTGGCGATGAATGACTTTTACCGTAGGTGTCCGTCCGTGAATGTGTGTCGGGCTTGCGGCAGAGATAACGGTAGCTAAAGTTGAGGGCAGTTTGAGTCCTGTCATGTTGACGCACAAGTTGGTTATAAAGGAGCTGTTAAAACGCTGTTCATGTTCTGTTGTGCTCGGTGCGGCTGGTAATAAAGACCCCAACTTCCCTGTTTCTGTTTACCTCTGCTGGGGACAGGGACAAAGTGAAGGGAGTTAGCCCCAGAGCTAATGTTAGCTTCGGCCCTGGAACAGATCACTAAGTCTCCCCTGTACATTCCAACGACGGCCGAAGCAGGAAAGAGCTAACGTGTAACCAACCGTGTTAAGAAAAAGCATTTATTTAATTAAAAGTGAAATAAAATATTTCTGTGTAAATATCCCATGTTACAACGTGGACACCTGCGGGTTATAGAGAATTGCAGCCTATATACAGTATGTATAATAGTTTTTTTTTTTTTTTTTAAATTTAGTGGATGCAGCTTATATTCAGGTGTGCTCAATAGTCCGGAAATTACGGTAGGAATAGACAATACGGGTTGATAGTTGCTAAGAAAAGTTTTTAAAAAAAATTGTTCTTTCTCCCAAACTTTTGTTAAAACTTTAAAACTCTAATCAGGATCAATGTTCGCGCAAACTTTGTGATGAATTAACAGTGCCAGTAAAAGAACATTATGAACCCACAGTTAGTGTTTTTTACCCGATGACAGCTTATGTTGATGCCTCCGAGGGAGAACAAGTTCACAGACTTAACATTTTCCACGAAACCAGTGCCTGTCTTCACAACTTTGTCCCTGAACAGATCATAACCGTGGGGCCCCGAGATACGAGCTACCCAAAAAATACGAAAGTTTTCCAAATTACGAGTGACACAACTATTGTGACATCTGGTTACAAATGCTCAACTGAGCTCCGTTTTTCTACTCGACGCTGCCACACTGTCTCACTCAATGTTCCTCACTGGGTTATTTTACCCATTTTTGTCATGCATCAAAAAAAAAAAAAAAAGGGGAAAACATATGTACTTGCAATCGTTTTTTTTTTGTCACTTCAAAATTCACTTCAAACTAAAAACTTGGCATTCTACCTTTCGTTGACCTCCATCTTGATGCCTGTATCAACAGCTCGAGACTTGTTAAGCATTTCCTGTTGGATAACATTGAAGGGAAAAACAGTTAGAGGGGCAGAAAAAAACACACACACACACACGCGCACGCACACACACATGTACACACACACACACACCTCTATCCTAGCAGCAGCTGATTCCACAGCAGCAGACGTGGCAGCCATTTCCTGCTCCACTAGATCTCCCAGTTCCCCCTGCTGCAGCTCCAGACCACGAGGACGCAGTTTCTGAAGGGAAACACTTGACTTAATTTAACAAGAAAGAACAAACGAAAAAAAAAAAACAGTACAAATGGAATCAAACATAGTATGTCAAAAATATATGATATATATGAGTCGTCCAGAGTCGTTATGAAAATCAGACGTACTGCAAGAAATCACACTTTTTTTTTTTTTTGTGATTGACTTGACTGACACCTACAGAACCAGATCCCTGGGGGTTCATGGAGGTACTGCAGAGATAAGAATTTCAAAGAAAAGGGTCTAAAGTGCAAGATCTACTATAGTCTGCTACCACACTATAACATTTCCCAGTTTTTTTTTTTTCTCTCCTTGGGTCCTCAAACAATGGACCACCAGTGGTCGTCGATCTCCCTCTAGAGCAGTGGTTCTGAATTGTTTTTGGGGACAATAATGTTTTCACTTATTTAAGTGCTCCGTGGTGCTCAGTAAAGTCACGGGTGTCCTGTTCTCGTGTGTCCCGGTACAAACCAGAGCAGTGGCCAGGATGTCCTCCAGAACTGTCCTCAGTTTGCTGCCGTCAGCTGCAGCCAGGTCGTCCCGCTGCTTCATCCGTCCCAGCAGAGTCAGCGCCTCCGCACCGCACTTCTTCACGCTCTCCGACAGAGCTGACGAGGACAAGGGGAGGACAGCACCATCAGCCAACAACAACAAATCTTAATTACACAGAAAAAAAAAAAATTGTATTTTGAATTCTGTGTTTGTATTTATTCCAGTAAGATCTTTTAGTTCAGGGGATAGAAACCCGCGGCTCAAGACCCGCATGTGGCTCTTTCATGCTTCTGTTGTGACTTTGGAAAATAAATAATGAGTAGGCCTATTTGATCAAAATGTATTTTTGATTTTAGTTTGTTCTATATAATTCTAAATTGGAAGATTATGGTAATCTTGTAACCTTTTATATATATATATATATATATACATACATATATTTTTGTCGCTCAATATATGCCTTACATCCACGGATGTGCGACACCCAACACCTACACCACAAGCATTATTTATTGAGTTTTTGAGACCCCTAGTGGGGGTAAATGGATAAAGTCTCACACGTTTGTCGACTTCTCAACTCTCGCGCGAGTCTTCCGTATTGTGTTTGCGTTATCCATTTTGTGAATTATTCTTCATAATAGTGATGAGTCCTAAGAAAGTGAGTGGTAAGGATGGAAGTGAGAAGACGAAAGGCATGATGACTATAGTAATAAAGCATGAAATTGCCGGTAAATATGAGCGGGATGCCCACTAAAGACAGAATACAAATTGAAAAAAGCAACAAAAAAAACAAAAAAAAAAATAGAAAAGTAGCAGCTACTGTGTCGTCTTTCTGTCTTTTTTTGTGTGTCTATGTCTCTATAGCATTTAAAAACATGTTTTTTCCATTGTTATTAGCACCAATACAGGAGTTTTTTAGAGGGCCGGAACAGATTTTTTTTTTTTTCTGTTATTTCTTATGGGGAAAAAAATGATTCGCGATACGAGCACCTCGAGTTACGAGCTCGGTCCTGTAACGGATTCTGCTCGTATCTCGAGGTTACACTGTATATAGCTGACTGCATGCTCCAGTACACACGATAAAATGATGGAACACAGAAGCAGATGGCATTTTTTTGGTTTGCATTTTTTTGTTTGCTGCAGGTGGATAACTTAGGTTTGGATTTTTTATTTTCTTAATACGAGGAGGACACCAAATATTTGATTTGAAAGTAAGCATCAAGCAAGTGTCTTTTTTTCAATTCAAAATGTTTTCGTTACATGCGGAAATACAATTCTACAACACACTTTTGTGTTTTTGAGTTTTTTTTTTATATACATAGCATACAGGTAAAAACAATTATATGCAGTGTTATCCTCATTTTAGATGGGTTTCGTGGCACTGGGCGTTTTCTTTTCTGTGAGAGACGGTCCAAATGGCTCTTTGAGTATTTGGACTGTTTCCAAATACTGGAACGGTGTTCTATTTGAGCATGTTTGGGTAAAAACAAATTCACTGAGAGTTGATTTTAAAAACATGACATCAGTATGAAGTAAAAAGGAAACGCCCTGATTTGGCTGAGCTTCTATTTTATTTTTACCTTGTTTGGCTTGTTAAAGGGACACTAATTTATCGCAAAAACAACCGTTTCCCTGTCTATGAAAAGCTCAGTAGCAATATAGCGAGGGGCTCAAGGCGTGAATCACAGCAACACAAACACGCGACATAAGGCACCGATGCAGAAAGTAAAAAGTTTCAGCTGATTTTTGAAAGCTGGGAACCAA